TCCAGAGGATATGGTAAAAATAGGTTGGATTCCTGCTTTATCACTGGCACAAAACCAGTTGAAACTCAGGTGAATCCATATCCATCAGACCCGGCATACATTCTTTCCGAAGGTACTTCACCTTTACCTGTGATCTGCATATTTTTAAAACCTCAAAAGAATTTTGGCCAGGTAACTTTGTGATTAGAAAGCCAGAGAACAGTCTTTGTCTTGCTTCTTCTTGAAGACGCTACTCAGTGAGATCAGTTTCCGTTCTCTACACAACCCACATGAGTTTGGCATCAGGTTGAGGTGTTCAGCCACTTGACCTCTGAACAGTGTGCTCTCCAGTTGTCATGTCATGCAGAAACAGGAGAAAACAGCATCCTTTGAACACACATAGACTATTTAATGTGTGTATGCATGTGTGTGTGTGTTTGCAGATGGATCTGTGTAATACACCAGTGAGCTGAGGAAGACTCCGGACATTTGTGCCACCTCTGAAAGGACCCTGAGATTTCATTGTAGTTAACTCTACATTGTTGTCCGTCTTCGCCTTTCTGCAATCCTGCAGAAGCTTCTGCTACCCTCGGCCACTCATTTTGCATCTCAATTGTATTCTGCAGCCCTGCCAGAAGGCCATTCCCTTTATAACAACCACCTTCATTCATCACTCTCTGTTTCTCTCCTGCCGTCCTCACAATTAAATGCAACAGAGGTACTTATGTATATTTTCTGCCCTCAGCTGTTTTCATGGTCCCTTCACCATTCTTCAAAACCACTTTCTCTTCCTTCTTACAGCAACAATTTCAAGTTAGGGGAAATATGACAATAACAACAACCAAACAACCCAGCAGCAACCTCACATCACTTCCCTTATCTTCAAACTCTCTCTCCCATGGCTGGTTGCTGGAAAAACTCCATTGTGAACTGTAATGTGTTCCCTCAAGCTTCATATGTTTCATGTGCTTTGTTTCATACATGCTTTCTTAAAATATTGAAAGTGTATTTCTCTCTAATATATAAGTGTTGCAAACCACAGAGGAAGTCATTGAAAGAAACACTGGAAAGTCCCTGAACAAGCACTCTAAAGTCTTCCTTAAAAGAATTGAAAATACAAACATTGGCTTGCTGGTCTCCCCTTTTCTGTCTGTGCTGTATATTGACTAATACAAACATCCTGGTCATGTATCAGGTGACAGATGCTTTGTCCATGTTTTGCTTTCTTTTGTTTTATGGATTGCTCCCCATTCTGGAAACTATTGCATTTTTTAAGTTGTTATCACTTAACATGGGAAAATCCCAGGAAATTTACACATAGTGCCGGCTTGGCACTGCAGACTTGTTCCCAGCTTTGCATTTATTTTTGTTTATATGAGGATATTAGGACTGACTCCACAGGAAATGGACCCTCTTGGAGTCAGACTTCCATGGATGTTTCTGAGTCAGGAAATGGACATTTTATTTCTGTGTGCAAAAGTGAAACAAGAACTTTGCCACCTCTAAAATCAAGCCTGAGATGTTTGTTGTTGAAAACCACAGCAAACATTTGCTTTCAATATTAAATACATTTATTTTTAATAGTAAGTATTAGTGGTAGTCTGTGTACAGATGCCTTCTTTCACCATTTCTATGGATCTCTAGAGAGGAAGACAGTATGAGGGGAAGAATCTATAATGTAGTCTGAGAATCTGAGTGTAATTTGGGAATTACAATTTTGAATTACAAAAGGAATAAGCTGTTTCCCTTTCATCTGACTGAACGCCTAGCTAAAGTTCAAGTCCAAACACTGTATTATTGCAACTGCATATCTATAGTGCTTATGATGTGTTTTCTTCAAACCCATCACTCTTCTTGCCTTCTCACCATCCTGTGACAATGATTTTTTCATGGTTTTATCATGTGTTGTAGAACTACACATATCTAGTTGCCTTCAACATGACACACAAGATGTTCTCATATTTTCTCATTGTTTTTCTTCATAATCCCTTTCTAAATGCCTCCTAGAACTCTAGACGCCTTTCTGACTGCCATACATTGTACACAGTTGTCTAGGAGCACCAAACCTGTGACACCCAGATCCGTTTCCTCAGGGGCAATCACAAAATGACAACTCCGTCTGTACATATGCTGTTAGTTATAGGTATAACTAGATGTACTGATACTTACTGATGCTGTTACATCACCCTTTCATTAACAGGCATCATTGTGACATCTTTCTACAACTTTCTGCAGACAGATTTCACTGTAGATATGGTTTTGTTGTTATTGTTTTGTTTTGTTTTGAACAAATATCATCCATTTTAACCAATTATCAGCCTCTAACGGGTCCAACTATCTCATTCATGAGGAACATGATCAATTTTTTTGGAAAGAAAGGTATACCAGGTTGACCAGATCCCACTTGCCTCTATCTCTATTGACTCAGTCAAGACTCTAGAGAATATAAGAAGAAAGACTTTCCTCTCTAAACGGCACACTGGCATCTCCAGTATCAGTCTAGTAATTTCATCTATTCTCTACCAGAGGATGGAGAAACTGAAAAATCCAGTGTGTTCTTCCTTTGCAGATCACTGTTTTTCATAGATACAAACCAAAATTTGTGGAAGTAAAATTTCATTAGACAAGTAGCTTGTTTTGAAAGCACATTTGGACCCAGTTAATTGCTCTTCCTCCAAGGAGCTTTCAGCTTTTGGAGAAGGCAGTGGAAAAAGGAGAGCAAAGTAACTTTTCAGACTCAGCTAACACAATATGACAAAATGCCAAAATCAGTTTTTAAGCACTGAAGCACCGCTTGCACTGAGCTGCTGAGACTGATGATTTCCAGCTTTTTCTTACAAGCATTTTCTCAAATAATGAAAACTCCATGGCACATACATGCAACAACTGAATAAGCCCATCTTCTTAGCTTGCTTTTTGAAAATTAAAGATGTGTGTTTCATTCTACCACAGAAATCACAATAACTTCAAAACCACTGACAATTCTTTCCCTCCTTTTTATTTTTTGAGGTCACTATTTTTTTTCAATATTACAAGCAAACAAGGGAATCAGAATTCAACCACCCATGCTAAAACTGAAATGTCAGTATGATTGTAAAAGTCTGACATACTCAACGCTTCTATTTACAATTAGGGAGTTCCTCTGGAAATATTTCTATCACCTTTGTTTACCTTCTTATTGCAAAAGTATGTCACCAAGGAGGGAGCCAGGGGCATGGATACAATTTCATCTTTCTTTGCTACATGGTTAGACATCAATATTTAGGAAAATAAGTCTATTTTTGTTTCTTGGATTCATATCTCTTATTTCTTGACAGGTTTTTTTTTTTTTTTTTTTTTTTTTTTTTGCTATGAAAGTGAGATCAAGACATGGGTGTGAAGATGGTGAGAGGAATTAATCTTAATCCCAGGATTAAGAAAGAAAAATACCACACTTCTGGCACCCCTCTGCCTTCTGAAGTGCACTTTTGACTCTTACAGCCCGTTCATATTCCTCTGATGGGATGAATATTATTAGAAGGCTGTGTTAGCTCAGCAGGAGATGCAAGTCCAGCGTTTCTGCAATTAATAATACTGTTGTGAACATTTCTACTGCATTTTGATGCAGCAGGGAAAGCATTTGTGTGCTTACACCTTTTCAGTGGAGGAGAAAGTGGTAATGCTCGGCAGTAGCTAGGATTTCATACTGGGAAAAGCACACGTATGTGGACGCTTGGAGAACTGGGGTTGATTTTAGGATGCTTGCTGTAATAGACCTGAGGGGTGCCTGGCCTTTGGGCTTCTGCTCAAACTTCTGCCCTCTAAGATACTTTTTTATTTGTTTCATCTTACTTCAAGTGGCTTATTATCACAGGACTCTTGGCAACATAAAGGAATCTGGTGGTGCCAGGGAGAGTTTCCTTCCAGGAAATACTGAATAAGAAAGAGAAAGAAAAATGTAGGCAGATGATAGGAAGTCAAACCTTACTTCTAAGAAATAGGAGCATTTTCTTTTCTTTCTTTTTGCTTTAACTCTTTGCACTGCATTCTTTCCTTCTTTACTGTTTATGAACTGTAAGATACATATTTAGGGCGCACATTTGCCTGTCTGCTAGACTATCATCACTCTTCAAGTGTATACTCAAAGTACAGCAGTCTTCAGCAGTGATTACTGTTAGCTTTTGATAGGACTTTTTTTGTCTCACTTTGCAGTGACCTTAAAATCCAGGTAAGATGAAAGACGTGCATTTTCTGAAAATAAACTGTCCTCTTCTATGCATTTAAAGAAAGCTCTGTTTATGGCTATGAAGTACAAATAACGCAGAAGCACTAGCAGAAGATATTCTTGACCCTTATCTAATCATGAATGGCATTGCTGCTGCCCTGACTGTTTCCCTGGTATCACAAGCTGTGTCTGAAAGTGAGCAATCCTTCAAACCCTTATGACTAAAGCCAGAGTAGTTTTCCAAAATACCCAGTGACCTACCTGTTAAAACCGATCTGTGTGTTCATACACGTAGGCAGTGACAAAAACACTGACCTGATTTTCAGTTTCAACAGCCTACGCTCAATGAGAAAGCTACCTATCCTCAGTACTTACTCTGAACAAAAACCTAGTGAACATTTAAAGAAACAGTCTACTCATGGTAGAAAATAATTGCTAGGCAGTATTTTCTATTTGTCTGACCTCACTCTGATGCAGGTAAGGTCTTTCTCTATGTAGCATTCCTTTGTTTTTCTTAACATTAATGGAAGGCAGTTTGTTTTGTGTTCGTTTTCCCACCATAACAATTATGCCATATAAAAAGAGGATTGTACAAATGAAAGAAGCATCTGTAGACATGTTTCAAAGCAATGAAAATGATATTTACAAAGGCATTAATACAGATTTAATACCACAGACTGTGGTTTTATCAGGTTCCAAGTACTTGAAAACAAAGCTTTACATTCTAAATATTTATCTGTTTAGGACAAGGATCAGAGGTGATTATTCTATCAAGTTTTGTCAGTATGAGAACAATTTTGACAATTACATGCCTTACCAGGTCCAGCTGGAGAGATGCTTTGTATACCAACCTCCATTCCTTTTCTCTTTTCACGGGTCAGACTTGGCACGAGTGGGCTGTGAGCTCTGGTGTCCGTGTACAAACACTTACGAGCCCTTCCCTTGCAGGGACACTCAGGTAGCAAGATGGATCCGAAGCAGACCTCACTGCCAAGTGAGAAAGCCATATAAGTGCCTTTGAAAAATTCCTTCTACTTGTCATTTAAAATTTTTCTTTACAAAATTAATCTATGTGTTCATAATGCCCAACCATTGATATTTATTTTTGCTGTATTTTTCTGCTCCTATGCTTCTCCTATTCAGCAGGCAATTACAGAATTATGCTAAAGTACAGGACAGTTAGGAAAGTGTAATTTGTGAATTAATTTATCAGTCTCCTTTTCTTCTTACCTTTCTCTACAGCGTTGAAACAAATATTCAGACGCTACTTGAATACAAGACAGAAGAAAGCCTATTTTACTCCAGGAGGAAGCATTCTGTAAAAAAGTACAAAAGTGTTAATTTCCTATTGCTAAAGCATCCTTTCAACAAAATCTTTAAAGGTTTTACAGGCTCTGATATATGTTAGTCAGTAGAAGGATCAGACTAGAAAAAAGGAGCTGCTGCGCCAGATGACAACTGCAAATCATTAAGTTTATCAGTGCCACACACATGTACTTATATTATAGTTTATCTGGTTGTTCTTAAATCAGTGAGCTGGGAAAGATTTCTCCTTTCTGAGGCAGCACTTGAATAAAAAATATCCTGAGTTGCAGTCAGCCTGAGGCCAGAATACTGACTGCACATTAATGCCTTATGGAAAAAAACAAAACAAAACAAAACAAAACAAAACAAAACAAAACAAACAAACAAACACAGAGCCAAATCAAATTCATGAACACCAGTTTTGATGCTATCATTTGGGGGAGCCATTCACAATGCTCTAGGTTAATATATTGAGAGGTTTTATAGGTTTTCTAGGTCTCACATACTCAGAGGCTCAAAATTTAGCTAGAATGCTATCTTTTTCCCTCCTGATTTAATACATTTTGATTCTTCTTTCCTCATTTCTATAACTACTCAAAGCTATTTCTTTTCGTGTGAGAATTTGGCTGGTAAGTCCATCTATTTATTTTGTTTTGTTCTAAAATGTATTGTAGGTAATGTTTCTTCAAGTGTTTGATCTAACCTTCTTGCTTCCAACAAATTAACAATTTTTTGTATAATAAAAGGCTTAACTCGGATTCACAAAATGTCATCAGACCAGAGCTCCATGAGGAGGAACAAATGCTGGATTCCAGAAGAAAACACGCTGGCTCTGCAGCACATCCTGAGCCCTTTGGTTCCTCTGGTAAAGGTGTGACTGGGTTTGGGCTCTGGGGTCCAAGAGAAGAGAGTTGATGCTGGACCTTGGGAATGCCTTACTGCATTTATGTCTGAGTCCAGGGTAAATGTGCAGAGCTCCAAGAACTATGAGTGACCCACAATCCATGGGAGTGCAGGACCTGTGCCCACATAACTATGAAACTATAGACTGTACATCTTGCCCAGAAGGTATAAGATGAACTTTGCAGGTGACAGGTTAAAAACAAAGAAAAGGAAGTGTTTCTTCAAACAAGATGTGATTGAGCTAGTGCATAGAGAAAGAGAAGTGTTCAGTCTCTCTTGTAATATGAAAACTAGAGCCATCACATAAAGCTCAATAGAAGGTGGTTCTTCATGCAACAAATACCAGTATCAGATCAGTATCAATTTCAGATCAATATTTTGACCTCACAGATGGGAATCTGAAGCCTAACAGTGTTCTTTGGTGCAAATGCAGTAATTGCTTTTAAGCACATAAGCTTAGGCTCTAAAACAATGTGACTCACAAACTAAATTTATTTCCTTTCACAGTAACAACCATCATATATGGCTGAAGTGTACTTTGAGACTCTACAGCACACCTTGAGAGCTGCAGTGCTGGGAATCCTGCATTTTCTGCATTTAAGAAAAGCTATACATTAAACGGACACATTCTAAATACATCTCAATGTCAAGTAAGACAACAGCATGGACAGCACAATTTAAAGAAAATATGGCCTTGGAGGGGAAAAAAATCAAAGACCTGAAAGCTTTTAGTCTGGTTTAGATAAATTGGAGCAGGAACTGAGATATATCTTCTTTTGTGTATGATGTTTGTAGGATGAAGATAGAGGTCAGTTGTTCAGCAGAACATCACAAGGGTGGGTTGAAAAAATAGCCTACTTTTTAACAAGTGAGGTATTACTCAGATGTTAAGAACTTTATACAGGAATGCTAGGGAAGCTTGGACACTGGAATGGGTTATCCAGGAAGATCATTGAATCCTTATCATTCCCAAAGACACATCAGAGAAAGACTGGGTAGACTTAAATCTCCCAGCTGAGTCTGAACCAGGCCATCCTCTCAAGTCACTCTCAGTGCTACATTTCTGGCTTTGGATTAAAAATAATAATAATCCAAACCTAAAGACTTCCTAGATGCTGCTTTGCAAGTTTCAGCACATTATACACAATAACATGAGAGGATTGGTAAAAATAAAATAAAAGCAACAAAACAAACAAGCAAACAAACGAACAAAAACCCAACATTGTAGTTATAATAAAGAGCCGTTCACTGTGGTTCCACACTGCTCATTGCCAGTACATGTAAGGAACAGGAGAACACTTAAGGAAATGCCTCAGATAAATATCCACAAGGAAGTTCTGCCATGAAGATTAATGAAGTCCAATTTACTCTGGAGTTGCATGAAGTTTTGTATTGAGCTATGTTGAGCTCTGAAAGTATTTTTCTTGTAGTCAAGGCATTCATAGTTTGTCTCACAAGGGAATATGAGAAACTTTCCTGGTGATACCTAGCTGCCTATTTCCCAGAACTTCCTACACGCTTTATCTTTCTCATGTTTCTTTTCTGTCAAATTGAAAGGCACGGTTCAAATGCAACTATATATGACTGGGGAGACAGGCATGTGGTGATTGCATGAGGCATATTTCCTTAGGAAAAGAGGTTAAAATAATGTATTAGAAGTAGTATAATAAAGACAATGCTAAGCTGATGTATATGGCAATCTTAATTTGCTGAGACTTACAGTTTACAGACACTGTCAGAATCTGAAATGATGTGTTCTCAATCCCGAAACACATTTTTAATATATTGAATAATATCTATATATAGAAGTGTGGTGGTTTTATCTTGCTAGGCAGCTGAACTCCACCACAACTGCTCTCTCACTCCCCCTTGGAGGAGGAGGAGGGAAGAGGAAAAGGAAAGAAACAACTCATGGGTTGAGATAAGGATAATTTAATTAAAGGAAAAATAATTATTAAGGAAAAATTATTATTAATTAAATAATTTAACTAAAAGGAAAAAGGGAAATGGAAAAAGGGAAAAACAACTACAGCAATGACAAGCAAAGGCTGTGTGGAAATGCAGAGGAAATAAATTACTCTCTACTTCCCACAAATGAACGATGCTTGACCACATCCTTGAAGCAGGGCCTCAACGCACGTAGCCGCTGTTGGGAGGACAGACGTTCTCACGAGAGCCCACCCCTCCCTTCTTCTTCCTGTTTCCACCTTTTATTGCTGAGTGTGACACCACAGGGCATGGAATATCCCTTTGGTTGGTTTAGGTCAGCTGCCCTGGTGATGTTCTTTCCTCACCTTTTGCCCACTCCCAGCCTGCTGGCTCTGGGGGTGTTAGAGGGAGTCCTAATGCTGTGCCAGTATTGCTCAGCAGCAGACACAGCCCTGGTGTGATACCAGTGCTGTTCTAGCTCCAAGTGCTGAGAACAGCACTGTATGGGCTGCTGCAGGGAAAGTCAACTCCATCCCACCCAGACCCAGTACAAGGAGTGATGGTGATTATGCATGTTAGTGCCATGTAACAAGTGTTTAACATGGCCAGTTCTTGAAAATACCATAAAACATGACAGATGCAGAGTGTTTTCAAGTCTACACTGGAAACATTTACTGGCACAGAAACAGAAGTCAGGACTTAGGGGTTGAGGTCATTGTAAGACATCTAAGGACATGATTTTCACCTCTTCTCCTTGAGCCTGATTTTCAGCCAAAGGAGTAGCTTGTATAAGTATGCCTATGGGTGAAACATCTCAAGGGTTTTCCAATTGCATGGTTCCTTTCTCCATACTGCAGTACTCTTCAGAATTAGGTCCCAAATCTATCTGCAAACAAGTCTGCTGCTGTGGTTGGCTAATTCAAGCTCATACAAAGACCATTTCTACCAACTGCTAAACAGTGGCTGAGCATCACAGATTTCTGTTGTTCATTATGTAATGGAAAGACATGAGTTTTTCCACATTCAGAAGCAGAGTGAAGTAGGAACAAGATCTGAGCTACAGCATTTAACTACAGATTTTAATTACTTGCATTTGGGACTTGATGATGCCCTGTGATGATCTGAACTGGTAGTAATCGATGCACAGGCTTTATGCAATCTTTATACCTTTATATTTATGCTTATTTTATTTTTAATCCTGGTAGCTCTATATTAATGGATTGCAGATTCTTTAAAAAACACCCTGTTGTTTCCTCGAGAGCAAAGATTCCAAACCCTACAGTAACTGTCTTTGAAAGAAACAGAAACAGAAATTCTACTACAGTGCAAATATTCTACTACAGTGTGGAACTGTAGTAACAAAATTCTACAACAGTGTGGAACAGCAAATAAAAGGTTTAGCAATATCAGGCACTCAAACCCCACGCCTGTTTCTTCTGAAACCATAGAAACTGAGCCTTTTATTTGCTCAGGGAAACTCCGAAAATTCAGAAAATGGCCTAGCCATAATTAGCAGAGCAATTCAAAATGGTGCCATTGGGCATTTGTTACTTTTACGAACACTTTTGGCTGATATTTTCATGCCAAACGCTTGTACAAAAGCACCTTTCCTCCCACTTTGAATGCTCAAAGCATTTGGAGACAGTGTGCAAGTCCTTTTCAATCCATGTGCCACAATTCCTGCCCTGCACAGTCTCCCTGAGCTGAAGAGGCTCAAGGCAAAAACTGTCTGCCTCTTTCTTTCAAGGTTGGTACAAAATTAAAATGTAGCTGATCCTAACTAGGCCTTTCCCTCCCTGTCCAGCAAGTTTTTTCCAGTGAGAAGGAAAGGCAAAACATCCCAAGAGGAGCATGGAAGGACATGGCATAACCACAACAACACGAGGGAAAATCCACCTATAAAGCAGGTTGACAGAGCAGCAAATGACAGCCCATCATGTGGCATTACACTGTAGAAGCAAAATGTAATGCATCCTGATTTTTTCCTTCCTTTTTTTTTTTTTTTTTTTTTTGTCCCTCCTTTATGCATCAGCACTATTACTGTGTCTGGAAGTGCTTTTTCAAGCTTTGCTCTGAGTTCACAGATCTCGTAAATGGAGAGTAATGAGAGGTTCTTAGGTGGTCATGAGACTCAGGTTCATCTGAGTCATTTTCTTGTTCCCAGGGGCACTTTCTGTTCTCTGAGCAGTGCTGTTATTGCAATGATTACCAATGCCAAAGGGTGATGCCATCTCCCTCTGCACCATCGCTTCCTTGCGATTCTTATTTTGCACTCTCTCTCATCCTGCTCAGCATCACAGCTGCATTATCTGTAGAGAAGCTCTGTCAGCTACAGCCTCAGTGCCTCTACTCCATCGCCCGTTGGTAGCCTACAGACAAAAGGTTGCATCTAAGGATACCCAAAGATGCTTGTATATTATATTTGCTATAATAAAGACTTTCTGCTTTCCTGTTACCTGGGCCAAGATGAAACTGAACCAACTGAAAGTACTACAGCTTTGCAAATGATCTGTCCAGAGACTGCTCCACCCCAAAGCATAACGAAAATACCTTCCTGAGCATTTCCCAGGTATGTGCCTATCCCTTTGCTTTGGTGTAGCATTGTATTTCATCTGCCTGTTTCCCTAAAATACGCATTAGTCAAGTTTTCATCACCAACTTAAAAGGATGAGTAATAGTGTGTTTAGTTTCTACAAATGCTTAAACTGGAATTACATCCCTTTATTATCACAAATTCAACTGTGTTCATTCAAAGCATAAATATAATCTCAAAGCACACACATAATCTTATTCTAAAATTCTGAAGATATTAAAATAATTTAAACTTAACAAAAGAACTGACCAAGTCATAGCTATTTCTGAAATGCTTTAAGCTCTATTGTTTTATTTTGCTCCTCAGAAATAATGATTGATTCACTAAGAAATGACTGTGTTGATAAAACGGGATGAAACTTACAGTTACCCTTTCCCCTACAAAAGGCTATCTGTCAGAATCACGGCGTTCCTCAGATTTACAGTCATTTGTTTTTGAATTGTTCTACAGATGGAAGTAATAGGCATATCAAAATTCCCTGTTTCTCACCAGAATTTCTCATTTTCTTTTCAAATCCCCATGCTCATGAATGGTATGTCACCAGTGGGAACTCAATGGAGACACAAAGAGCTAGAGCCCCCCCTACTCAGAACAAAGTGGATGTGCATTCTGCATAAGCAAAAATGGTCATTTGAGACCCCCTCAGAACCATTCCCAGTTCAGACCAAGGCAGCTGCTCTTCTCAGATCAAGGACAGCTGTAAGACTGAAGATCAGCTGCAATTTTTTTTGATTCTGTGCTGTTTTTCAACCCAATTGCCTACCTTTAGCAAATAAATTATTGTATATTTAAAATGATGGTTTTTCTTCTCTCGACCTTCTTATTCAGTTGTTTTTTCATTATAAAAAGCTTTCTATTTTCATCGTAGTTATAAAAATACCAGCAATGTAGGCTCACATTGAAATATAATTCCTCTTCCACAAAGCCATTCACAAAGTAGCTTCACCAGAGGCATAGTTGTGGAAGAGACTGGAAGATCAGTCTTCAAATGGTCTTCAAATCCCATGTGTCACTGCAGAAGAACCACTGAAGCCAAAATTTTAGTGATGTCCTGACAGGAAAAGGACAGCTGGTAAACATCCCACTTCCTTTTTCTCCTTTTTATTTTCAAATAGTTTCTTTAAATCTCCCCTTCACCTCTTGTGTTTCCCACCTTCTCACAGTAATTTGTTGAGGACAAATATCAAGGGGCAGCTCTGCTTCTTCTGAGCTGTCTTGTGTGGTGTCATACACTCTTGGAGGAAATAGGGCAACTACAGTACGTTGTTTGGCAAAATTACCATGATATGCTAATTTGATAATAGCCATCCACGACTTTTCTGTAGAAACAGATATTTTTTCTTCTCCTACCTGAGGCTCCTCCCATCTGCAGATTCTACACAGCTATGTGTAGAATGGCATATTTTCCCACAGAATTAGGAATCCCTGACTGCCCAACATATAAATATAAACCAAAAGCAAAGCATCTCAGACTAACATGTCAGGCTGGAAACTGCACGTGCTGCCTCAGGAGTAGCCTGACATGTGGATCGTGCACATACTTCAAGGATGGGAACCTTTTTCTAGCTTTTCAGTGAGATTGCTGAACAGATGAACTGTGTCTCTGGAATTTTATTTTATTTTTTTTCAAACAACAGATCTTGCTTAATGAAAAGACTTGTTTGGATTAGTTAATCCACAGATATCTGGCATCCATGCAAGAATTAGCCTCTAAGTATATACCTACCTTCCTGAAACAAGCACATTCTGGGTCCATTCCATCCTTAACATGTCCTGAGACCAGGCCTGGGCTGTTCTTTATACCTGCTGTGCCAACGGCTCTTGTAATCACCATAGCCCTGCAAATGCCACAGAAGCAATATGTGAGAAATGTCTATCGTAGACTTAAATAATCTGCAGAGAGTTCTAGATGGGTATGAGGATTTCTTCAGCATGTGTCCATAAAGAACTGGTTGCCTCACACTGAACAGACTTGTAATATCCACTTTAAAACTGGTATGAATAGAGAATAAAGGGGAATGTCCAGGTATGGATCCACCGCGAGGAATGGCAGAAGGACAATAAGAATAGTATATACTCATGCCACCAAAATTCCAAGCACAACTCCCTGGGGCTTCTGAGATACTGGATCAGAAGACAAAGGACTAGAGTGTCATGAGTTAAAGTGAAATCAGACTGAAACTAATAGATTCAATTGCTGTCCTTCATTAGTAATAATTTTATGAACAAGTACAATGTTTTCCAGATGAAAAAATTAGCAACAAAAGTACATTACACCATGCAAAACAATGACATATGAAAAGCATATGTAAGGAAAGGGTCATTGCTGATTGATGAAAGCCAGACTAATAGTCATTTCCAGCAGCTCCATCTAAAACGATAGGTTTGAGATCACTTCCCAGCTCTGGGAGCTGCGCAGATGACCCAGCTGCACCCTGTCTCCCTGTCAGGACAACATCTGGGTTTCTGTCATCCCCTGCCACGTCCTGATCTTCATGGGAAGGAAACCTCGAGCAGAATCAGGCACCAGGCTGGAAAACTTCTCTTTCCCATATACTAGGGAAACAAAGTTGGAGATGGAAATGAAGCAGGAGGTATATCCTGGCAAGAACAACCAAGGAGGTATATCCTGGCAAGAAGAGCACTGTAAATACAGGCTAATTGCTGTCTGGAAAGAATAGTGCAAGCAAAGTTTTGGTATTTTCATTCAGGCAAAACCAACATTGTGCTATCTTTGCAAGAGAAACAATTTAACAAAGCAATATCTGACTTCATTTTGACTTTCTCCTGTTTCCCAAATTTACCCCCTGAACCCAGAATTTAGGTCTGCCACTTGAATCAGTGAAAGGTGTTTATTTTCAGCTCCCAGTAGATTATCTGCAGTTCCTACAGTAAACTATGGAGGGAAATTTTGAGGGGGAATCCAAAAACTAACTTATGCACATGGCCTTGGGATTCAGAAACCCAAGCACATGGACACGGGGTCAATGAAAGAGAATGACTGTGCACCTCCAAACAAGCCCTAGAACCTGGCACATTATAAAAATCTTGCTTGTGGATCCACGCATCAGAAACCCCTTGGATCTCATCTATTTGCTGGATAATGAAATGTTATAGGAGTTTTATAAGCAACAACATGCATATAGAATTCCAGAAGAAAGGAATTTTGAAGACATTAAAAAAAAAAAAAAAAAAACTGATCTTTTGTTTTTCTGAGGTCACATGGGGTAAATAGAAGTTAAATATAGTTTGCAGCATTGTTGGAGATCAAATATTGCCCAAGGAAATACAGTCTGTGTACTTATATATAAGCAGAATATTTGAGAACAGAAAAGATCTCATGAGTGCACTCAGCTGTGTTTTGCATCTGGAAACAAGGAGATGAGCCAATTTTTTTCAGTACTTTACAACATGGCAGCCTGTTTTTATCCCATCTAATATAATCTGCATCTAATTTTTATCTGCTGTGATGGGAACATCTAAAACATGTGTTCTTCCAGTTAGTTAGAAAATGCCATTAGCTGCAGTTGCCACTCTCATCCTGAAATGCTGTAAAGCACATAAAATTTATTTTAACTTATCCACAGGACACTGTCGCAGTTGTCATGCTGCTGGGGATTTGGCAACTATGTTTGTTTGTGTGCATCTGTGGTTTGTTTAAGTAGCATTCACAGTTTTCCAGACCTCAGCTCTTCATAAACAAGAGCACAGCTGAATTCTTCCAAGCAAGCTAGAGTTCTCGGGAAGCTGACAGCATCTTACAGACGCACATTTGGGGGAATATATCTATTTGCTGCAGGCTTGCCAGGTACCACAGGATCTACCCAGTAGGTTCTCAGAAAAATGGTGGGGATTGTGCAGCTCAGAACTTGTTTGTGGGCCATTCCTCCTACTAGAAAGAACTAAGCAGGGAGACAGACCATTTCTTGCTCAGACTTCTGCAGAGGCAGGCAGCTTTTTATTATGTGTGTGTTCAGTATAGGTGAATACAGAAAGTGTAACTAAAAACAACACAAGATCCTTCACCAGCTTTTACTTTTCACTGAATTTTTACGCAAGACACTGCCTGGAATTAACAGTTTATGCGTCCACGCTTGGTGCCTAACAGAAAAGGAACTGTACAACTGATAGGAGACAGCACTGCAGGATACATGACAGTGTCCCACTGGAGCTCAAACAACATAAAACCCTTCCACCCAGCAGTTTACCACCCCAGCCAACAGCTTCTTTGATGCAATGCATGCAAACTCGCAGTGACTGCCTGCACAAATGCAGGGTGCCATTAAACAAATGTTTGGCTGGAGATGTTTTGGGTTCTTGGTTTGGTCTAATTGTTGCTCCCCACTGGTGGGAAACTCATGCCTATTAGAGCAAACATACTGACAAAAGTCAGTGTGGGGTGGTGACAGGAAGACACTGCTTGTTCTCTGCTTGTTCTTGCTTTAAAGGCAAACCCATGGGAGTTCAACAGTCCGGTCCCCATGTTTAGTGGGGGAAATGGCAATACCTCCAGATTATACAGGACTTAAGGTGCAATTATGTAGGTAATCAGCTGATTGCAAACTCACACCTCTTGTAATCCAAATACAGGACATGAGAATACAGAAATGCCCAGAAAATAGGATCACAAAGATTGTTTGGTTAGTTATAATTAGTTTATGGGACTACATTAAAAATAATAATAATAATCTAGTTCTATCAACAAATCTATCTTTTCTTCAGACTGAAAAGGCACTTTGAGCCCCAGCATTTGATTTAGCACAAATAACAAGGAAGGATGCTGCTGCTATGAGAAGCAGATTCAATTTTTGAAGAAGATACACTGTCTTCTAGGATCCCTTGTGGAAAAAGATAAGATAAGCAAAGGAGATGGGTAAATGTGTGCGTGTGGAGGGTGGCTGGAAAAAAATAGAAGGAATTAAAATAAAATTGAAAAAAAGGGAGACTAGGACATCCAGGAGATGGAGAAGGTTCAAAATAAGCCATGATGTTCCAAAACTGGGGCTGGAAGTCTTCCAAAGAAAACTAGAAGATATTTGTGGTTAGATATGAAAACATTTTTGGAACAGCAAACATTAAAGATTTGCTCAGTGGGAGAAGGCTAGCTGCATACTTGCCAGTCCAGAATGGTGCAGAAATTAAGGAGGAGCGAGGCAAAGTGATCCTCCCCTCAAAAATGTATGGGACAGTATTTTTATTTGTTTGTGTGTTTCAAAATCACCAGATCTAAGGCACTGGTGAGAGACATCACAATGGAAGTCCCTCTCTAGGATGCAGAACTAGCCCATTTGGATAAGACCAGCCACTTATAATACTTTCTGGTCCTCTTTCTGATCTACAGAGGTCTCAGAATGAGAGGCTTCCTTCACCCAAAACACAACTTTTCTCTCTATAACACGTCCTTTGCTATGCTTGGTGTCTTTATCTATGTGAGTGCTTGAGAAGAACTGAAGGGAGCTTCTAGAAGCAAAGTTAAGCAGCTCAGCTTGGACATGGCAGAAGACTTTGCTCCCAGAAAAGAGATCATGTCATTCAGTGCTATGAAAAATCCAGTCTGAGCTGCCCAAAGTAATGTCAATGCTAGCAGTACACAAAGAAGCATCCAAACCTGGAGTCTGATGTATCCTTTGGGGTAAAGTGATAATGGACAAATTTGGGGTACTCTATTGGATTCTGATAGGGAAAGATGAAAAGCACTGAAAGAAGGTAATGACGCTATAAAAAAATGCTAAATTTATGGTAGGACTTGGGTCCCCAGTCTTTGCAGTGAAAGAAACTGCAGCCATCACCACAGAAAAAGAAAGCTAATTTCTATGCCTTGTAAGTCCGTTCTATCTCAGCTATTTGAGGAAAAGTAAATCCTCATCAGAGTCAGAACATTACAGAGTCATTAGAAAAATGAAGGACGTTCACAATAATGCAACAGCTGACCTTTGTGTTAAGGCTGGCATTGTGAAAAAGGCCATTACAAGAAGTGTTGTAACGTGTGTGGTTAAGCAACACGAGCCAACACCAAGAGCAAGAAAGAAAAAATTCCTGGCATCTCAGGATATAGAGATCCCAAAGCAAGGGGAAAAAGCTGAGAGGCTTGAGAACCATTCCCACAATCTAGTTCAGACATCACCTAAAGAACTGCAGGAGTTTGTTCACTGATTGTGTATTGAAGACCAAAATCTGTGTAGTTACCCTACCATCAGTATGAGGACATGAGTGATGAGATCAAGCATGCTACTAGCGTAGGAAACAGGACATCCTCTGAAAGGTTTCTTACCATCATCTCCAGCGGCAGATGCTGTGACAGCTTCCATCCATCTTCCCACCATGCTCTAAACTGCATACTGACCAATGGGTCTGAAAGCCAAGAAAATACATTTTTCAGCAAGGTGAGGCTAGTGGCAATCCCTTGAGAGCTTTTGGTTTGTGCAAGGTACTTGCCCCATTGGAGGAAGCTCAGTGGAAGAGAAGAAAGCCCCTCTCTGCTGTTTTTTTAGACTCCTCTGATGTGTAAGAGCATGCTGATGCTTTTGAACATGAACTAACACACAGACAAATAGCTTGCAATAAATTTACAGCTCCAAGCCCGAAACTGAACCCAAATTAATAATAATAATAATAATAATAATAATAATAATAATAATAATAATAATAATAATAATAATAATAATAAATTTTTAAAAAAAGTTAGTTTAACTCAGTGACATGGGGATTGCCACTACAAGGAGAAATTTGAAGGTCTGTAGAATTGGCCAAGTCCCCAAACAAGTCTGGAGGCATAGTCTGATAGATTTCTCTTTATGTTACACAAGATTTATTTTGGGGTTATTTTTATTGCAAAATCATTATAGTGGCTGAGAGAAAAAGGGAAGCACTTCAGTGGTCAGCACCACGTTTACTCAGCATTTTTGCCAACAAAAGAAGCTCTTGAATTGAATTGCCCAGGCTTCTGAATTTCTTTTGCAACAGATGCAGATGCTAATGCCTACAGTTAGGAATAGTACTGACTAAACAACCCAAAGCCCAAGTCTAAGGTTTCCTCCAAAGTAAAATTTCATCTAGCCTGTAGTTTTTATTAACATTTTTTTGTTTCTTTTTGCATAGAAAAAAAAAAAAAAAACTGTGGTGAGGGTAAATCTTACCCCCTATCAAAAAAAAAAAAAAAAAAATCATAAAAATGGGACAACCCCCCAGCAAGTTGCAAACTGCACTGTTATGATCCCAGTATAATTCCTAAATCCAAGTACAACCGTGACAGTGGTGGTACCTTGTTCAGCTGGCACTGCTGCACTAACTGCTTCACAAAGCAGCCTGGCACTGACTTTCTGAAAGGTTTTGCTGCTGAGACAGTAGCAGGTGCTCAGGGAAAAGAATTACTCATCATACCTGGAGATGTAGGTGGCTAAATAGTTGAATGAAATCTAGGTTCATTTCCCATCCTATGTCTGCATACCTGTGCTTTGATCAAAAAAAAGCTCAATGGCTCCTGGGGAAAGTGAAACACCTGCCTCTGCAGGATGAAACACAGGTGCAGGAGATGGCATATGCCATCACTTTTAAGAGCTTACTGAACATCAGTCAGTAAGGATATAAATCACGCCTCAGGACAGCTTGAGTTTGAGCTTCACCCAGCACCATAACATAATGACAGCAGTGTAAAATGGGTGCTAATGAAGTCTGAACACAACCTGCATACTCTTACTTCCTTATTACAAATCAGAACAACCGTTAAATACGTTTGCAAGCAGAACAGCAGAGCAAAGATTTCATTTCTGCCTTGTTGTGCAGTGTGGAATCCGGGAGAAGTATGGAGACGTCATAACACAACTGGAAGTGAAAGGACATGCTTAAAATCGAGCACAATCCTCTGTGTGAATTTTCATTAAAAGGACCTCGTATTGCACCTTCTCCATACAGATGTGAACCACAGCTTCTGTCTCCCTCATAATTCTGGACCAACAGCCTGCTCGGCCTTTCCTTAAGTGCCAAATCCTCTTTAAAGCAGCTCAGTTGCTCTACTGAAAAGTAAGAGTTGTCCATGCAGATGTCAGATCTTATTGTGAAAGGCACTTACCCAACACAAATAAAGAAGAGTGAGTGACTTGTCAGGAAGTCTGACACCCCAAAAGCTTTGTGTTTGAATGATCAATAACCGATAAATGCGCAGCAATCTGGGCTCGTGCGTAGATGACTAAGTCAGGCGCTGACAGCAGTAGCAGTAATGACGCCAACAATAACATTTGCTGACTCACTACATTTCTGTTGTCAAAATTCTATCAACTCAACTTTCTACTAATTCCTTTTCCAGAAAGTTAAGACAGGTGGAGTCCCAGAGTCCTCAGACTGCTATTGTGAGAGGTGGAGAGCATAATGCTGCCTTAACCACATTCATCTGGTGTTTAGGGGTACAGCTTTCAAGTCTGCTGCTTCCTTCTCGCTCCCTTCTGACAGCACAGATGCCATTCGACAAAAGAAAGGCAATTCATGTGAGCATTGCCCACCATGAACCCCGTTTTCATTGGAAGAGAGACAAAGAAAATGGACATTGTAGCTGATTCATATTGAACACTGTAGTTTCACTCACTCCTTGTTAAGATTAACATCACACACATACCCACAAAAAAGTGTTTTTTGCATACCCAAATCTTTCACTGAAATCATCAGGGGACTAGATTGAGAAAGAAGCGTGGGAAAGAACTGTAAATCTGGCAGCGCACAGTTGGCCTGCTGGCAGGCCAAATCCTACAGATAAATGTCCTTGTTGAAAAAGCCTCATAATACTGTTCCTACTTGGAGGAAAGGATGTGAAGAACATGCAAGTGTCTTCTGATACTAAAGGGGCTACTAAAAGAAACAGAGTAAGCGTTTCGAACAGTAAGGACGCTAAGAGTGAGTTCTCAGCGACAGGTACTGAGTAGTTTGTCTCAAATGATGTGCACCATGAATACAGCCGGAGCCCTGCAAATGCAAAGCGTGCTGATGGAGTCAAACAAACTGAAAAACTTCACTAGAATGCACGGATTTTGTCAAATGCAAGCTAATATTCAAATGCTAATGGGAAACTGCTTAAATATACTAAACTACTCTGATCACACAGCAACACGGTATTTAGGGAAAAGTGAAATGATTCTTTTCAGTGTCCTGATCAATTGGGTTTTGGGGGAATTTAGGCTATTTAGAAGAAATCTAAAGGTAAAAATGCTGAATTGCAAGCAGATCAGAAGTTACTTTTCTCAATAGCCTATTTTTCACAGACTCCCTGCAGCTTTCTTACTTTTCTGCCCTCTGCGTGTGCTCCTGATATGATAAGCAAGACAATGCAGAAGACAGCCATTGATAAGGTAACTGGGAAGTAGCCTCAGGGGCGATCTCAGTTATCAAAAACATTGTTCATGCTTTCCCTCCAAACACGTCCTTCTCTAAACTCCTCCCTCTAACCGGCTGAAACGAATACCCTTCCCTCTTTCTGTTTTGTATAATACTTTGCATAATTCACCAAGAATCACGCAAACTTACCAAGATTATCTTTTCTTCCTTTGAACTAAGTAGCAGGCATCATTTGTTGCTGGGAACAAGGCAATTGATTTTACCACTGCCACCAAGTAGGCTGAAAAATAAACATGAATGTAGCACTCAAAAGTGTTTTAAGAAAGTATTCCCTGAGATAACAGCTTTAATATCTTCTAGCCTATAAGTTAAATACAGCTTCTTTTTTTTCCCTTCATTGCAACACAACCAATGAAAGTAACAGAGCATCAAAGTGTGCATGTCGTAAGAGAAGCCTTCAAAAATTTTGGGATGATTCCAACAACTGTCCCCTTTTTCACGTGAGCACACATTCGGTTCCTCAACTGATGTCATCATTTCAGCCCAAAGACCACAACTATCCAAAGCACACCTGCAAGCATTACTCAGCTCCACTGAACCCAAAAACTTAATCGGATTAAAACCCAGGTTTGGGGTAGGGGTAATTTTTTTCCTCTTTTTTTTTTTTTTTTTTTTTTTTTTTTTGGGGGGGGGGTGGTGGTGGTTAATGGTTCCTATTTTAACTCACATATTCATACCTACCACTGCAAAATGTTAACACCTAGAAAGTATCAGCAGAGTGGCAGCGTACGAGTGTCAGTGGCTGTTGCTGGTGCCACATCCTTTCTGGAACAACCATCAGCTGTTGCAGGAGGCGCTGTACCACGCGTGTACAAGCCACTGCCAAAGTACAAGTCCTGCTCTCAGATGTTAGTCAGACAGCAAGCAGCACCATCCAGATGTGTATTCAGTGTAGTTATACCTGAATTACTGTGCAAACCACAAATCTGCCTCAGCAATCAAAAAACCTGCTTGCTAATGACAGGCGAGCAGGTCCTAAGAGCCCACAGCAAGAGATCCTCTGCACCTTCTGAGCAAAGAGTTGCTCCTGATGATTTTACAGATCCAAGGGCAAAAACCCACAGGAAGTTTGCACAATTCGTAGCATTTTCAGCTGTTTGCAAGGCCAAAATGAACTCATAAAGCCTTTTGGGACCTATGTTGACTTACAGAGCTTACCAGATGCACAGCTCCAGGGGAAGGGTGTCACCAAATTGTAGCCTTCATCCAGGATGAAGCCTGCCACCATAAAGCCAGGGTTTCATCCCCCTCAGGGTGAGGCAGGCAAGTGTTCCCTTGAACAAACTGCTCCCAGCCTCAGAATGAAGCCCCTTTTGCCCTTATATGTCAGGTATAAATTCCTGGAGCCGGACAGTTTACACACTTTTGAAACACTTGCATGTGTAAGGGTCACAAAAAGCGAGGTCCAAGCGTGGCAGTAATGGCAATCCCGGCAGCTACCTTAAAGGGGTAAATTGCAACTTGAAGCTGTAGAATGGAGAAATGATTACCGGATGAATTGATGTCAAAGCCAAGCCATTTGTATTTGCTAAGGTAATGCTTGAGTAATATAAGCACATTCCTTTGCAGCTATTAACATGGTGTTTGTTCATGCTTTTATTGCCACCATGGAGCACAGGAAAAGGAGAACCTCTGACTCTGTTAGGAAACAAATGAAGACCCCAAAATTCCAAAGTGTTGAAAACAGTTGAAGACCAGGAACGGAGCTAAGAAAATACTGATCATCAGTTTGCTATAGGTCATTATTTTAAATGAAAGTGTTAACATCTCACTTGGCCATCCACCTGCAGCCAAGTCATGATAGATCCAAAATGAGCAAGGCAAGAGGCAGGGAAGAACCTGGCTTTCTGAATTCTGGCTGACATGGTTCTCTCTTTCCTGTCTTTTCTTTCCTTGTAAAAGGAAATGTGCCAAGGACAGAGAAGGGATCAAAAGGAAAAGGCAGAATCCAAGAGGGCTCATCTGCAGCC